ACCTGCCTTCCTGCCTGCCTGCCTGCTTGCCTGCCTGCCTTCTTCCTTCCTTCCTTCCTTCCTTCCTTCCCTCCTTCCTTTTCTCCCCCTTCCCTTCCCCTCTTCTCTCTTTCTTTCCTTGGTACTGGAGTTTTAACTCAAGCCCTTGGCAGGTAGGTGTCTACCATTTCAGCTGTGCCTCCAATTTTGCTTTGTAGCTGGTTATTTTGAAGATGGAGCCTAGTGAATTTTACTGCCTGAACTGACCTTAGCACCAAGACCCTCCAGATTGCAGCCTCCTGAGTAGCTAGAATTATAGGCATGTACTAGAGAAATAGGAGGCTACAAGGTAGAGAAGTGGTTTTTTTTTTAATGTCTATTTTGCTGAACAATTTATGAGTCACCTGCAAATGAACTAATGCAAAGAACACCTCCTGCTCCTTTTTTTGTGAGGAGCTCACCTTACTGTATGGTTAGATACAGGCACTTCCATGAGGTGTTTGGGACTCTAGCTTTCTTTTCTCTTTATTTCCTCTCCCCTCTACTCCCCTCCCCTCCCTTCTGGCACTTTACGGTATTGCCCACCTTACAGCAGTGGGCATTGAACCTATTACTGAATAGGTCAGGAACTAGTTCCTGAGCTTCCTCCTCAGCCCTCTGATGATGATTTTTATAGGACAAGTCATAATTAAGTTTCTTATTGAGCTTCATGTTTTGCCTTGGTTGCTGTGAATCTCAGTACAAATTCTGTATCTAGTTACTATAGGGTTTTTCTTTTCCTGAATTTATTATTATTTGATCTATACTTTTTCCTCTTGTTTCATTAGCTATTTTTTTTCTTTATTGTACTAATAGGGGTTTGGAGGTGGATAGAAGATAAGACTAGAAGGGGGCATTCTAGTTTTTAAGTTTTGGAAAGTTATTAGAGTAAGAGAGAGAGAGGAGAGAGGCGGGGAGGGAGCTGAATTCCCACAGCCATCAGCAGCCACCGGACCACTCCAGGTGATAGCTTGTTGACATGGCTGTGAGGCCTGGCCTGAGTCATCAGATTGAAGCCTGGCAGCGTCTTACTATTTAGAGCTTCTTTGGGAAAAGATCTTAGTTGGAAAACAAGGTCTGCATGGCTGCAGCTATGATTTGTGTTGGCCCCAAGCTCCTGGCAGCTCCTCTGCCCTCTGGAAGCGAAGGTGGTGTCAGCCTTTCCATCCTCCCCGCCTTCTTGGTTCCTAGCCAGCCAAGCAGGCCAGAAAGCTTTGCCCTGCCTAGGAGTTTATTTTTTCTCTGTTTCTTTCCTACTCTATGATTAAATAACAGTGTAACTACATACTATATTTGCTTCGAAGAACATAATCCAAACTATACTTTATTCTCTCTCCCCAATACTTGGGTTTGAACTCAGGGTCAGGGTGCTGTTTCTTAGGTTTTTAACTCAAGGCTAGTGCTCTACCACTTGAGCTACAGCTTTGCTTCCAGTCAGCTTTGTGTGTGTGTGTGTGTGTGTGTGTGTGCGCGTGCATGTGCACATGCATATGCGCACTCGCATGTGCCAATCCTGGGGCTTAAACTCTGCGCCTGGGCTCTGTCTTTGAGCTTTTGTGCTCAAGGCTAGTGCTCTACCGTTTGAGCCACAGCTCCACTTTCAGGTTTTTTGGTGGTTAATTGGAGATAAGAAGCTCATGGAATTTCCTGCCTGGGCTGGCTTTCAACCTCAACCTTCAGATCCCGGTCTCCTGTATAGCTAAGATAACAAGTTAGAGTGTTGGAGCAACCTACACTTTCAGCTTTTTGGTGGTTAAAGGAGATAGGAGTGTCATGGACTTTCATTCTGCCTCAGCTGGCCTTGAACTGTGACTCAGATCTCAGCCTCCTGAGTAGCTAGGGTTATAGATGTCAGCCACCTGCACCCAAGCGTTTAAAGATCTCTTTGTAGTCCAGGTGGGCCTTGAACTAAGATTAATGTGTTCTCTTAATATGTTGAATGAGAAATAAGTCTGAGGGGAAGGAATAGATGGGCTGGGGCAGGAGATGGTGTAAGGGGAAACTGATCAAGAAGCACTGGGTGCTTAGATGGACATATTAAGTTGTAATCCCTGCTACAACCATTTGAAGTTCAGAAAATAAAAATAAGATGCTTGTAGGTTTATGCTTTGTCATTTTGTAGATGGATACATTGAGTTAAATACCTCCCCACCTCACATCATTTTATTTCCAAATTAAACACTTGGGCCAGGTTCCTAAGTGGTCATATTTAACTCAGAAAAAAAAAAACTGGCACCAAGAATTACTTACAATTAAATGTTATGATTTGTTTTTATATGTTCTTTTTCTTTTCTTCTTCTTCTTTTTTTTTTTTTGCCAGTCCTGGGGATTGAACTCAAGGCTTGGGCACTATCCTTGAGCTTCTTTTGCTCAAGGCTAGCGCTCAACCACTTGAGCCACAGCCCCACGTCAGGCCTTTTTTGTTTATATGGTACTGAGGAATTGAACCCAGGCTTCATGCTTGCTAGGCAAGCACTCAACCACTGAGCCACATTTTACCAACTCTCACCTTTATATGTTCTTAAGAACACATACAGTGCTTACCCTCTTTGCAAATTTACCTTTTGTAAAGATGGACAGAAAACACGAGAAGGATTGGTAAGGGTTCTGTCTTCATAGCTTAAGATACTGCTACGAGTTTAGGTCGTTGTAGGACACAGCTCTGTGGTACATCTGAGCATTGCTTTTTAATTTTTTTCTTTCTTTTTCTCTCCCCTTCCTTCCTCTCCTCTCCCCTCCCTTGCCCTCTTCTCCCTTCCTCTTCTCCCAGTTCTGTAGCTTGAATTCAGAGTCCTAAGTTCTCAGGGCCTCAAGCTCTCATTCCAATCCAGCCCTTTCTACTCATGGCTCATGCTGTACTGCTTAAGTCATGCCTCCAGTCTGGCATTTTTCTGATTGAAGATGACGTATTGTGAACTCTTCTGCAGCTCTGGCCTTGAACCTCAGTTAGCTTATCTCACCTGCCAAGTCCCTAGGATTAGCAGTATTAGCCACCAGGCCTGGCTATGTCTGGTCATTTTTTTAACCTGAGGATTCATCAGTTTCCTTTTGCTCCGGAGAAAATGGTGGGCTTGTTTCATTTTTATTAAAAGGGCAGCAAATGGGAAAAAGAGTGGAAAATCTACATAGGTACAGGGCCATCTTATGACTGGCCCTTGGGACAGGCATATAGCAGGCTCAAGCTACGGTTGAAGGAAAAGCATTTCAATTTCAAACTTATTGTCAACTTAGTCCTTGGTAAGTGGTTCTGTGTTCCCTTTTCTTTATTTCCTCTCAGAGGGCTCTAAATTCCAGTGGCAGGAATTAAGAGCAGCGATTTTGTTTTGTGGGTATCGAGAGATGCCAGAACACTTGGCCTGCCTTCTGCAGATGGAGGAGAAATGAAAATAGACGGCTACAGTCAACGTTGCTTCCAGAGGCCTTGCAATATCTCCCTTTTCAACCTGGCTGGGCCTGAGCTGGGGCCTTGGGTTATGCATAAGACATACAGCTGCTGTAGCCAACTCCTCTTCCTGCCACCACCACCACCACCATCATCATGATTATTTATTATCTTTAAGTAGTTGTGGAATAAAGGGGTTTCAGTTCACCTTGTCAGTGTGTAAGTACAACGCATCTTGATCCTTGTGTCCTGAAGAGAATCCTACTTTTTTCAGTGTCTAAGGGAGACAATACTCGAAGCTGCAGCTTCAGCAGACTAGGGGTGCCTGGTAGGGCATCTGGTACTTTGTCCTGGGTTCTCTAGACTGCTCAGATCCTTAAAAAATATCTGGCATGTTGTAGCTGTGGTTATGGGCATGAAGACACATTTGCATTATCTGATAGCTTGCCTTTTTGATTTAAGGATTTATTGACATATGGTTATGATAAATAGAATATGATAACTTCCTTAAAGGCTGTGTGTGCAAATGAGAGAGAGAGAATTAATTTTAAAAAAATGATTCCTTTGCAGCTCTTGAGAAAGTCTATTTTACAAAGAGGAAAACCTGTGGTTGAAGGATCCTTGGAGAAGAAGCCCCCATTTGAAAAACCCAGTATTGAGCAGGTAAAAAGATAAGAAGCTGTTTTGTTTTGTTTTATGTCACCCCCGGGTCCTGAACTCAGGGCCTGAGCAATGGCTTTTTGCTCAGGGCTGGAGCTTCTACTTCCAGCTTTTTGGTGGTTAATTGGACATAAAAGTCTCATGGACTTACCTGCCAGGGCTGGCTTTGGACCTTGCTTCTCAGAACTCAGCCTCCTGAGTAGATAGGATTGTAGGTACAAGCCACCAGCAACTGGTTTAAGAAGCTGTTTTTTGGTCTAATGCTACAGTTTTTTTTCCCTTTCTTTTTCTTTGTATAGTGCTGGGAAGTTACCTCAGGTCCTTGCGTATGCTAAAAACACCTCTGAGATACATCTCTAGGGTAAAGATCTTAGCCTCCTCTCTGTCCATTTCTCTACACATTTTTATCTTCCATTTTTCCATCCTAGTTTGGAGATGTTCACCAAATCTGTAGAAATTATCTTGGATCACAAATACAGACCTCGCTTTAAGTTGTTCAAGTTCTTATAGACTTAGACTTCAGTAGGTGTCTGGGAAAGAAAATAAATTACAAAGACCTAGAAATTAGTAAGAACTTTTTCTTCTTGTCCATGTCTCAAATTTATCTTTGTCCTTTTGTTTGGCACTGTCTGAAAAAAATCCTACTGAGTGAATGTAGTGGTAATGTGAAAAATGTAAGTCTAGCAGAAAGAGTAAAACAAGAAAGGAGCATTTGCTGCTAGAAATTGACTTTCTGTCCCATTATGATTCTGGGAAGGGAGCCACTTTACACAGAAAGTCAGGTTAAATGTGTAGATGTTTTCTGTTATGTGTTGTGGGAAGATGCATGGTTATTTTAACCCTTGTTTGGTGAATCTCAAAACACTCAGGACTGAATTTCTTCTTCTCTCTGAATTTCCTTCACTCTCAGCTTCCCTCTTTCTCTCCCTTTCGCCTTCTTTCCTTCCCTCTCTCTTTCCCTTCCTCATCCCTTCTTCTTTCTTTCTTCCTCTTCTCCCTTCTCCCTCCCCCGCCTTTTTTTGTGGTGCTACAGATTGAACACAGGGCCTCACTTAGGCTAGCGAAGTGCTTTCTAGTCACCCACACCCTCAGCTCCTGGATTGATACTTTTTTCCTTCTTTTTTGGTGCTAGTACTGGGAGTTTGAAATTAGGACCTTTGGATTGTTCAGCTGGAGCCTTGGCTCCCACTCTTGTCCCCCCAAAGCGGCTTTTTGCTGCTTATTTTGGAAATGGAGTCTCTTCCTAGGTGGGCCTCAAACCTCAGCCCTCTAAATCTCAATCTCTCCAGTAGCTAGGATTACAGGCATGAGCCACTGGTACTCAACCACAGCTTTGTTTGAAAAAGTGCTTAAGGGGCTTGGAAGGTGGCTCAGTGGTAGAGCACTTGCCTTGCATGCATGAGGCCCTGGGTTCGATTCCTCAGCATCACATAAGCAGGAAAAAAAAAGCCGGAAGTGGTGCTGTGGCTCAAGTGGTAGAGTGCTAGCCTTGAGCTGAAGAGCTGAGGGACAGCGCCCAGGCCCAGAGTTCAGG